CGCAAAGATGAAAATGTGACGTCTGACCGTTTTTCACGAAACGGTCAGACGTCACATTTTCATCTTTGCGGCGCACCCCCCTCCCCCATGATCACGTGATGAAAATTCAGAGGCTTGGCAACTGGTATATATTTATGACCGTTGCTGTATCCCCAGGTCCTGGGGTCCCCTTTTGCAACCTTCTGACAGGCAAAGTCAATGGGGAAGCCAGATGCACTTAACAACCGGGTTACTAACAATGATTCACTTAGCAACTGTGGTGAGAAAGGTCATAAAATGGGAGAAAACTCACTTGGACAAATGTCTCAACAAAAATCTTGGGCTCAATTGTGGTCGTAAGTCGAGAACTATGTGTATTCCCTTAACCTTTTCAAATCAAATGCTCATTTTCAAAGAACAACATTCTGTCTTGGCCCTACCTATATTTTTGTCACAGTATGAGGACCACGAGAGCTTGTGAGTCAGTTGCCAAGTGTCCTTTGCACCCGTTCACAGGAGTTGTTCCCCACAGCTTCTACCCTTTTCTGGTTATGGCTTAACAACAATAACAACGTTATCGTCCCTTCTACAAAAAACCAATGATATTTTTCTTCCCCACCCATCCTATCGCTCTTCATATGTGCTACATTTTTATAGCACTAATTTGCTTAGGAAAAGCAGATTGATTATAAAAATAAATAAATAAAACTCTGATAATGCCTGGGAGCATCAGGATATGGCAATATATTAATAAACCTGCATCTATAAGCCCTTGACTCTTCTTGCCCTTTCTGACTGCTAGCTTGCTGACAGGGCATTCACCTTGAAGAAGAATCCTTCTGAGTAGCAGTGATGAGAAATGAAAGAAAACTGGGTGTATAAGCTGTGCCTCCACCAAATTCTAGGACATAATTCTGTTAAGCTAAGGGGAAAGCGTTACAAACTGGAGGAGGAGAGGGAAGATCAATTGTACATGTTGTTCTGTCCTGGTTTCAGGTAAAAATGCAATGTTGAAACACCACACATGAGGTGAGGTGAGGTGAGGAGAAACAAACGTTTCCTATGGAAAACAAACTGCTCCTTAGACTATAACAGCACAGATGAGTTCATGTTACAGCCTGATTGGTGGTTTGAAATGAGAAACTGTGGCTCTTCACTATCGGCTTCGATATGTGCTTGATTTTAAGATTCTGAAGCCAACCAGTAGATGGAGCATGCCACTGGTGGACAAAAAGTACTTCACAACATCTGGAAAACTGCTGTAAGCTTGCCTGCCTGTTAGGTATGCTTTGGCCTCTAGGGTCATTCTGAAAGGCAGATCAGTGTCATGTGTGAATTAGAAGTGCAGATGAATGCAGATTTGCAAATGCAAATCACCAGAATACCCAGGTCTTTTTGAGAGCTGGGAAGGAACATATCCACACAGGACTGACCTGGATTGTAGACCCCCAATGTACAAAGCTCCGAGGGGCATCATCAGGACAAAATGATGTTGCGTCTCTATCCCTACTTCTTTCCTCAGCAACGCAGAACGAGAAACTGACATATATATTGGAAAAATTCCAATTTTGTTGTGAATTCTCAGATTAATAACCTGCATGTATCTTTCCAGTTCATCCATCTCAAGAACCTGGCTGGTTGGAAGGAACCTTGAATGGGAAAATAGGATTGATTCCCGAGAACTATGTGGAGTTCTTATAACTGGACATGTTCATAAACAACCCTGCTGAGCTTTACATGGTATCCATGACAACCGATTAAGAGTATTGTAGATCATTTGCTGTTTACAACTGTGAAAAGCAAGGTGAAGGACTCTGATACCTGTTCAGAAGAATGTTCATGTAAATTTTTAAAAAAAGTATGTTTCTCTTTATATAATGTGTTGTTTGCACAAATATGCAGCCGACAAAAGCTGGAGAAGAAAACTAGTGAGGATGAAGGGTTTCACTGGGAAGTGTTCTGCTGTGAGAAGTGTTAATGCCACATTTCGAATTATGTTTTGTCCTAGACAAGATATTAATAGGATATGTGTAAATGTAGTAGCTTAAATTGAGCATGATTACTGGAGACAATTTAACTGGAATTCTACATACACACAGANGCTCAAGGTTGACTCAGCCTTTCATCCATCCGAGATTGGTAATATTGAGTACCCAGATTGTTGGGGGTAATATGCTAACTCTGTAAACCGCTTAGAAAGGGCGGTAAAGCACTATGAAGCAGTATATAAGTGTAAGTGCTATTGCTATTTAAGACAAGGAAGCACCAAATGTTTTTAAAATGTTTTCCTAGCCCATATATTTTCCAGTTTTATAGATCTCAAACTATTCTGAACTAGCCTTATTCTGGTTCTTAGCTAGTAGATTGTTATATAGCAAGGTAGTAAAATATGCATGGTTTTAAAATTAAGTGTAGATGTTGCAGGAAGCATTATCTGTAAAAAGAAGAAATAATTCTTCCAGAAAGTTAAGGATTAGCCTGTTATTGACTTATCTGACTCTTGAAAGTTGGGAGTATTCAAAAGATTTTTGAAAGAAATCCAAGAGCTAATTTATCAAGAATAGATAGTGTGTTTAATTTACAAAATACCAGGTATAGTTGCTAACTCATCAACACCTGATCTCTATTTTTAATGACTTCTGACTCATAACCTATTATTTCTTAATAACTATTCAGACTGAGGTGTCATAGTGTAATTGCTTTTATTTTGCTAATGTATATTGTTCGCCTTAGGTTTAGAGAGTTTAATCTAAGAAACATGACACTGATCTGCCTCTACCCCAAGAAACAAAGATGGCTCCATTACTTTCCACATCTTTCCAAGGGTGTTTCTCTTGATGTCTTGATTCATGTCTCGCAGATGTCCTTGTGTCTAATGCCTTCTTAGAATTTAAATTAGTAAAGGAAGGACTTTATCAAAGACAACTATAGGAAGTCTCTTTAATGAGCAGGTCAGTAAGAGACTTTTGTATATAAAGCCCTCTTTGCTCCCAAGAGTGAGTTTTACATTATCTGCATAGAAACAGCAGTGGCTTCTTGACAATATTTCCTTCCTTTTTGGCTTCCTCCTCCTTTGGGTAACATGAATGGCCAGGATTATGTAACCATGTTGCCCTTAGTGTTTTTCATAAACAGGAATATAATTTCCTAATGCTTGTTAACTACATAAATACAGAAAGCTAAAAAAAGACTAGGAGGGAGGATAGGAAAGAAAGGAGGTTGTAGGAAGAAATATAACACAGGGAGAAATTTTAGTTTAAGTTATAAGCCACAATGGGAAATTAAACCTCAGTGCTACAAAAAACGAGATATTTTAGAGGAACTATGAATTAAGAGGATGAACTCTCCCTGCGGCTTGAACTTCCTCCTGAAACAAAACACTAAGAATCATAAAGCTGTGTGTGATTAAAGGATTCTTCTTAATTTTATTCTTCTTGGGCTCTTCATCCTCAAAATTTAGGTTGCAAGCTGTGTGGACTAGGTGAAGGGAAATCTCTTTGTTCATGAGTAATTCTTTGAAGTTCTAGAAATAGAGAAGATGCGGGTTATTTGCCATTGATAGTGGATAGTGACCAAATTAATCCTTGAAGAAATTAAACAGAAGAGATGGCAATAGCAATAGGACGTAGATTGATATACTGCTTCACAGTGCTTTACAGCCCTCCCTAAGCACTTTATGGAGTAAGCATATTACACCCCAATAATCTAGCTCCTCATTTTACCAATTTCGGAAGGATGGAAGGCTGAATCAACCCTGAGCCAGTGAGAATCGCACTTCTGAACTGCTGGCAGTTGGCAGAATTAACCCGCAATACTGCATTCTACCCACTGTGCCACCATGGCTCTTGACTGCAGAACATAGAGCTAGGTGGAAGTTTTTCTCTTCTTGGGTAGAAAAGTGTGGGGAAATGAAGAATTCTAATCTAGAATGTCTGTATGATTGTTACTCTGTTCTGGGCCCTTTATTGTTTATTCCCTAAGTTTCTTGGTCTTCCTTCAGGCGACAAGAAGGATATTGTGAGGACACCCACAAACACACCCACAAACATACACACATATACATGTCCCAGGATAATGTTGCAGTTCTAATCTAAGTCAATCACTGGGACCAGAGATTTATTTTTCCAAGCTTCCGGATTCATGCTGGAGCCTGTCTTCAGGGAACCTGTTTTTCTCTCCAGAATGGGTTTCAGAATGTGTGACGCTCCACACATTCTGGCGAGAGAGAGAAGTTCGCTGAGGATGGGCTCTGAAAGCTTTGAAAAGTAAACCTTTGGTCTCGGTGACTGACTCAGATTGGGTCCTACAAGAAGGGTAGGACATCTGCTTGGACTTACTAAATTGACAGGAAAAGTAATCTGGGCATGGAAGTCAAAATGGTTGCCCCTTCCAAATCAGGAAGCCTGGACTAGCTTCAAAGGATTAGAAGTAACTGTGAGTATTCAGGAATAATTCAGACACTCTCTGTATTGAAGAGGGATGCTATTATTCCTTGATTTACAACCACAACTGAAGTCACAGTTTTGGTGTGATGGTTGTTAAGTGCGTCACCGTGTGACATACATGATTTTATGACCATTCTTGCAGCAGTGAGAAAGTGAACACTGAAGTTGGAAAGCAAACCCATTGTTCTCTATAGGGCATTATGGGCAAGAAATGGTAAAAAAAACTTCATAAATGTTGTTCATGTGACCACAGAACACTGCAAACAGCCCTAAATTGGCCTGGTATCTAGCAACCAAAATGCAGTCATGTGATTGTGTGCATAGGTGGGGGAAGTAGTGGTCAGAACTTTGAATCTGGCTCACAGCTCTTCCCCCCCCCCTTTTTTTTTGGAAGGACTGTCTGTCATTCAATCTGTGTCCTCCTGTAGTTGAGACAAACTTTTTTTTAAAACACAAATTATATAAATGCCACACCATGCTGAACAAAAGAAGTATGTCTTTAATATTTAATACATTTGTGGCTCAGCTGTAAAATGAAAGGATGTTGTCGCCTGATTTCGAGTGATAAATAGAAGTCAGGAGTGCGAAGTCTTCCGCTTCCATTCCTTACCTGAGAAATAGGACTATAAATCAACAAAACACTGAGTCACCGAAAGAGAGAAGTCCTTGTACCACCTCCTTCTCCATCTAGCCTTACTCTAGCTATAATCACGAATTCGGTTCAGAGTGAAACATGTGTTTGCACATTTTCCTCATGCATCTAAAGATGGAAAGAGAGAAAGAACAGCAAATCAATGGCAGAGAGTTCCACAACCACGCTGTTCCAGATCACCTCCTGTCCATTTCCCACGTCTTAACAAATCAGTATAGATGAAATTGCAATCCTTTTGTACAGGTAGTCCTCGACTTACAACAGATCAGTTAGGGATTGTTCCAAGTTACAACAGCATTGAAAAATGTGACGTCTGACCGTTTTTCACGAAACGGTCAGACGTCACATTTTT